CTAGCAGTAGCCTGCAGTGCTGCATTTAACCACTGCGCCACCTTGGCTCTTGGCGAAGGGTGAGCAGGTGGGTGGGGGGGAAATATAAACATTTCTGATATACGTCGCCACATAGCCTTGATTGTCATTGCAACGAAATTGGTTTTAGCCTCACTGCTGCTCCCCACGACAAAAAACAGAAACAACATAAATAGCCTAACGAATAATCCCCATGCAAGTAATTAGGAAAGAGAGAGAGAAACTATTCCTACATGTGTGGTTGTATTTAAGAGTCTGACAGCCCAAAGTTTCTCATTATTATCAAACTTAAAGTATTGACCATAATGTAAACATAATGGGGATGTGAACAATTGATATTATTACAACTGTTAGTACAATTGTTATTACACCATGGCAAATGTTAAAACCTCTAAGAGGGCAACCTAGAATAGAGAACTACAAAAGCTAAACATGCCAATACAGTAGAGACTGTGAAATTATTTTATATTATGTTTGTCTTGTTTTTTTCTGTATTTGTTGTTTTCCCCCCCCCCTGTTTTTAAAGGTAAAAATGTTTAATAAAAACTATTTTTTTAAAAAAGAGCCTGACATTCCAAGGTTCGAAACTGTTTTTAAACCTATTTGTTCGGCTGGCTCTGCTTCGATGTCTGCTGCCCGATGGTCAAAGTGTAAAGAGAGACTGAGCGGGCTGAGGGTCATCTCAGAGAATCCTCCATACTCTGCTAAAGCAGCGGGACCTGGCGAGGTCATCCAGTGGTATTAGATGGCGACCAATGGCTTCTTGTGCCGAATTGACCACCCTCTGTGGTGCCTTCCTGTCCGCATTAGTTAAATCAGAGGACCACCATACTGTCATGCAGTCTGTGAGGACACCTACAGAAAGAGGCCATCGGCCCTTGTTCCCCCGGAATACCTTCCAATATTCTTTATTCTACATGAAGAACGTTCGTTCTTATACCTTCCCGTATTTGAGACTTCGAGTGTGCAATGAGACCGCCCCGTCGGAAAACACCGCTTGGACCTCGGCCTGAAGGGAGCATTTAAGGAAATAAAAGCACAGCCGATTCCCCCGGAATTTCTACCAATGCCCATAAATACAAACCCAACCGACCGAATGGCTGAACTTAATTCAAAGTTCCCCTTCCAGAATGGCCGAATGGTTCTTCCCGGCATCTAGGCTGCCGTCAGAGCAAAAGGTATATTGGGAAACGGAGGCTACCTGAGGAACCCTGGGAGTTGAAGTCAAGTGGGCAAAGTTGAGAAACACCAACCAAGCTTGGTATTATGGGTGCAAACGAGGCTTTAACACATAAAAATGTTCAGCAGTCAACATGTCGACCTGCAGAAGGATGGGACACAGCTCCCATCGTCCCCAGAGTATGGGCAATGGTGCTCCATCAGCAACAGGGTCGGAAGAAGATTCTTAAAAGAGATTTTCAGCTCCCCCCCAAAAAAAGGATACGCTGACAAGGTCTCCTTCTTGGAGGAAATCTCTCATGGCCAACTCATCTTCCGCAGACCGCCGTCTCTGGGGAATAAATACAGATTGAATTGAACATTTGATGGGGCCAAGGGGGCTTTAGACACACAAGGAATTTGCCTCCGCTGCAGGAACTCTCGGCGTATCTGGGGGGGGAAAAAGCAACAGGATACAGGTATTGTCCTTGTCTTACAACAGTTTATTTAGCGGCCATTCAACGCCAACGAAAAAAGTGACTTATGACCGTTTTTCACACTTAGGACCGATGACGCATATCCGTGGCCATGTGATCAAAATTCAGATGCTTGGCAACTGCTTCATATTATGACCACCGCAATGTCCCAGGGTCATGTGCTTTTGCGACCTGATGAGGAGGGCTGATTCACTTAATAACTGGGTTATCATCTGCAGTGATTCACTTAACAACGGAAGCAAGAAAGGACTCAAAATGGGGCAAAACTGGGGATATTTTTAAAATAAAACAGTGGCATAACTAAAAATTAGAAAGGGGTACAAGGGAAGTGTCAGCTTCTGCTTTCCACACATGGAGTCCGGTGGTCTTTCTTTCCTAGTTAATTAATGGAGAGGAGCTGACAGGAAGATTATAATTCAATATAAATCTGTGCATTACTATTAGAATTATACAAGTCTGTTAAACATAACAAATGTGATTATGGGTATTTTATCTGTAGTAAAAGGAGTAATATCAAGAATATGGAGATTGGCATAAAAACATTATATTGAAATATGGAATAATTAAGGAAAGATTATAATTCAACAAAATATACTGTATGTCTTACTACTAAAAGTTTATAAGGTTGTTAATTGTGTTAAATATGAAAAGTATTGTTTTATTTCTACTAAAATGTAACTCTGGCTCAACACTGTTCTCACGCTATGTTTGAAGAAAAATAAAAAAAACTTTTTAAAAAGGGGACAAAACTCACTTAACAAATGCTTCATTTAACAACAGAATTTTTGGGCCAAATCATGATTGTAAGTCGAGGACTACCTGTAAAATAATAGTTTTTAAAAAATCAAAATAACCCTCCATATAAACCCCACCCATTTCTCAATGAAAATGACGTTTCCAGCGGTGTGAGGACAGACTCACCAACTCTCCACCGGGAAGATTCATGGAAGACAACAGCAGCACAGATTCGAGTCTCGAGTTGGTCTCCACCTTCCATCGTTTCTGCTGAACCTAAAAAAAAAAAGTATATATATATATATATATAAAAAAAAATAAATCCAAACTTCTTCAAAATGCCACCCACCCAAAGAGCCGAAATAGAAACTATTTTGGCAGGCGCTGGGCTTATTTATAATCAGTGGTCCTAAACCACTCCATTCTTCGGCAGATGCCATTTTAGGAGTTATTATCCTATATTTTGCATTCCTAACAAATTGTTCCACGCTGTGGGACAAANATGTATGATGGGGAAGAAAATTGCAATAAAACTTGTCTTAAAAAAACTATGAGCCAAGCTTCCAAATTGTGATCGTGGGAATGCTGCAACGGTCCTTAAGTGTGGAAAAACGGACACAAGTTCCCTTTTTTAGGGCGGATGCAACTTCACATCATGGTCGTAAGTGGAGGTCTCCCTGAATGTTCAGCCTTAAAGGCTCAGTCCCCCGTGCAAACTCACCTGGCCTGGCTAAGCCCGCCGCTGTGTGAACCCCTAACCCTCTCTGTTCAAAACAAAGCAGAAGTCTCCTTACCATGCTCCAGGAAGACGTTGCAATGGGTGCCCCCTTGCTTCGACGACGGCCCTTCCTTCCTCACCCCGCTCTTGATGAAGTGCAGGGCAGAGAGACTGGGCCTCCGTTGGTCGCCCAGAACCTTTCCAGGTTGCTGACCCATAGATTTCTCCCCCTCCCACGCGAGGACAGGCAGGAAACTTCAGCGTCCGAGCGCCGGCCTCTCAGAGCAAAAGCCAGCTTTCTCTCCCTCCTTCTCCCTTTCAGCCCTGCGTAAGTCTGCAAACTTCCATCCGGTCAGCAGGCCGGATTTTAAAGAGTCCCCTTTTGCTCCGTCTTGGTGCTTCTTCACCTGCGGTAAGAAGGTGAGGTCATCCGGTTGCAAGAAGACTCCCACGTAAAGGTCCCCCTTTTCTGGCATAGTGCAGGCCAAAGTCCTCCTGGCTTCAAGAGTTTCTTCCAAACAGAGTCCAAGAATTGTCAATTTTGGGGTTGTTCTGCTGCTCAGCAGCCCTCCACAAAAGTCCCCAAATTGTCACCTGTAACAGGAAATATTTCAGCAATATTCAGTCCGGTGCAGACACTTACGGGCCCCGCAGTCACCCCGCTCTCCTTTCTGCCCCGTGGAGGTTCCTGGGGAGGCCGAGGGGGGGCTGAGGCCGAGGAGGGGGGGGGGCATTTTAAGGACCAAACGTGGCGGTGAGATCCGTGGATAAACTGAATGGACCCGGCCACCGTCGGATGCCCTGGGAAGCCAAGCATGGGGGAGCCTGGGAAGGAAGGAAGGATGGGCTCAGCAGTCCAAGGAAAGGGGCGGAAGGGGAGCCACGGAGGAGGAGGGGGGTCATCTCGGGTCAGAGTCCTGGGGGAGCAGAGGGGTTTTTGGGGAGGGGGTTTCAGTCAAGGGGGGGGGGGGGGCTCGGCTGCTTTTCTGAAGGGCTCCTGGCTCAGAGGCAGCAGGAGGACCACCTTCGCCTGGGGAATGGAGATTCGGGTTAGGCTGTGGGAGGAAAAGGGGATGGGGGGAAAGTGGGGAAGAAGGGAAGAAGGAGGGAGGGAGGGAAGGAAAGTCTGAGGGAGCCGGAAAAAGAAAGTGCGAGGGAAAGAAAAAAGGGAGGTTGAGGAAACGGTGAAGAAGAAGCCGAGGGAGGAAAGGATGAGGGGAAAGAAGGAAGGAAGGAGAGGAAGGGGAAAAGAGAAGAGAAGAAACGGAGGAGGGAAGGAAAAGGAGAGAAAGGAAGGAGGGAAGAAGGAAAAAGCTCCACAGGGCGGCGAGGCCAGCAGAGGAGAAGCCGAGGGAGGCCCGGGGAGCCGGCGGGGCGGGCGGCGGGCTCTCCGGCCTAGGGAGAAGCGGCGGCGGCGGCGGCGGCGGCCATGGCTGCAGAGGGCCG